CCAGCTCCAGAGTTAATCTAGAAGATTTTCATACACGAGTTGGCATTTTCAACATTCTTCTCGGGTTCGTGCTGTTGATTTTATTTTTGGGCATGATATACGGAGCTTATGTCCTATACAAGCGATGCCGTAGAACATGGATTCACCAGGTAGTGAGCTCTCTGACGTTGCAGCGGGCTACGAGTGTAATACGACGAGCTCAACAATCATCCGACGAGAGAGCTAATTGAAAACTAAAGTGAGTAGGTGGAACATTTACGTAAGTATTTAGATAATATACTAAAGTGATTAGAAATTAAAATATTAGAAAATAAATGTTCAATTAATAATATTATATTATTATAGAAAAATGTTATTAATTGATATTAATGTATATTGTATAATTATAATTAAAGTGCGCTAGAATCGTTGCCGGCACACTCGCGAATATGATACGTGCCGCCCGAAAAGGAAAGATTTTACATTCCAATGCAAGTAGATCTTAATATGGATAAGACATTCTATTTTTGGATTAGTGTTTTGTTAAATTAGTTAATATTTTAGTATGACAGATCAGTTAAACTCAATAGGTAATTCTGTTTTAAAAATTAAAAAAATATTTAATTAAAACTGGATAGAGAAGGTTCACGGAGAATATTATAGAGAATAAATTAAAAGAGTGTGAAAGCCTTATATATAGAAGTAATTTAATTGTAGAAAATGTAAAGCATACTAAAAGATCTGATTTAATTAATACATGTGTCGAATTAAGTTCAAAAATAAATATAATATATTTAAAAATAAAAAAAATTATGTAACTAGTCAGAAAATAAAAATACAAATATGGATTTAGACTTAAAAACGGCTTGTACTTTGTTGCCAGCTATGGACTGTAATGAAGAGACAACAAAAAAATGAATTAATAGTATAGAAATGTATGCAGATATGCTTAACGATTCGGATCATATTTTAATGATTAAATTTATTTTGAAAAATAGACTTTCTGAGAATGCCAAATTGCGTATCCTTAGCAATTATGTTTCAGTTAAAGATATTGTTAATGATATGAAAACTCTCCTGTTGACAAAAACTCTTTTACGGCTATTCAGTCACGTCTTCAAAACATTACTCAAGGTTGGAGATCAATTGAGGAGTATGGTAGTCAAATTGAAAAGCTTCTTACGGAATTAACATTTACGCAAGCGGAAGGAAATTCTGCTCATTATAGCATTCTAAAACCTTTAAACGAAAATATTGCAATTAAACAATTTTCAGATGGTTTAAAAAACAGTAATTTGAGCACAATAATTGCAGCTCGAAACTACTCTTCTCTAAAATATGCAATACAGGCTGCCAAGGACGAGGAGCTTTTCATGCCATCAACGTCGGCTAGTGCTGATGTCATGAACATCAGAAGAAAATCGTATCACGGTAGACGAGGTGAATTTCGAGGTAGGAGTAATAATAATTTTAATATTAGGTACTCTACGCCGAGTCATTTCTATAATCCACGAGGCCAATTAAACAACAATAAACGTTTTTCGCATAGTAATTTTTAGAATCGCGGAAATCAACAGCGTTTCCAAAGTTCAAATCGCCGTAAATTAATGAATAAACGGGGTAGGAATAATGTATTTCCGATAACTAACGATAACAATAATGAGCATAATAGAAAAGATGATGTAGATAATTTAGCAGATCAGTTTTTTCGGATATAAAAATCATATATACACGATAAATAGTAAACAAAAAATTGTTATTTTTAATATTGATAATTATAAATATATTTTTTTACTTGATACAGGAGCTTCGTTATCTGTTATACGAAACGAAGTTCTGCCAAAAAAATACTAGTGCTTATAAAAGTGACACTATTGTAAATGGAATAGGAGGACAAATAAAATCACGAGGTCATGTGTATCTCTCGCTGTTGGTAAAAATGGTGGTTCATTTCATCATAAATTTTAAATTTTTACTAATTTAGCGTTGGAAGTAGATGGTAGTGTAGGATTTAGACTTTTTGAGTAAATTTAAGGGTGATATTTTATTGAATTCTAATGCTTTTAGTTTCGAGTTAAGCGGTAAGCTAAGTTTTATACTAATTTATGAAGTACCAGATTATACGACGGATTATTTACTTATTCTGGCCATAAATACTGTTACAATTAAAAATAAACAAAATATTACATTTGAATTTGGAATCTGTCATGTTTATATATGATTGCTCATTGAGTTTTCTCATTTTGGCGCCAATACATTGTACACTATTTTGCGACATTAAAATAGAGTAGGGTGATAAAGCGAACCGAATCGCTGTGATTGCATTACACAAAGTAGGTATGGAGCCAAATGCATTTTTTTTTTTCCCTACCTATGCTGATAGCCTTGAGAGGCTATTTCAGCTTCACCCTAACGTTAGTAGGTGAGCTCGCGGGGCTCAACCGGAGAGTTGCTAACACTGACCCTAGCAAGAGCAGTGCTTCGCAGAATCTACCACCGGATCGGAAACGCGACCCACTGAGAAGATCCGGCGAGAAACTCAGTGGGCTGTGTCTATGGGTTAGTTCGCTCGTCGAGCCCTTCGTCGCAAGCGACGGGTTCGACGAGGACGGTGACCGGTGCTTGTGGTGCCTAAAAGCACCGTTAATGGATCAGGAGGATCCGTAATGACGTGCTTTGGGCGACGTCGACGGTTTACCATTCGGTCTACTGGGTCGGGTATGTAATTTCCAGCGGCTACGATGAGAGGGTTCTCANACGAATGACGAAAGACGATATAATTCAAGAATGTAAGAGCGAATGGTCTTGTCCGATATTATTAGTCCCTAAAAAGCGATGAAAAAGGAGAAAAGAAGTGGCGTTTACTAATCGATTACCGGAGGCTCAATGAAAATATTCAAGACGATAAATTTCCTCTTCCAAATATTACTGAAATTTTTGTTTCATTCGCTGGTTCAATATACTTTTTTCATCTTGATTTCAATTCAGAATATTACCAAGTATCTCTCAATGAGGCTGATCGTAAATATACAGCTTTTTGTACTAATTCAGATCAGTACCAAATGAAACGACTACCTACGGGTCTAAAAATTTCACCAAGTGCGTTTAGTGGAGTAATGTCAGTGACTATGTCAGGCCTTACGTTTGAAAAATGATTCTATATTTAGATGACTTAATAGTTTTTGGTAGAAATTTAGTAATACATACAATGAACAAATTATGGCAGTAATAGCAAGGAAACAAAAAAAAGGAATGGAAAAACTGAATGAGAAAGGTATACAAAAGGAAACACCCTTCTTTAATAACTCTGTAGACGAAAGGCCTGATCAATCAAGAGTTATGGAGTTATTAAGAAAGCCGTGTGGTTCTGTAGATATGAGTATTATTCGGAAGTTGCGAAATAGATAAATTAAAAAGGCGAAAAGGATAAGTGATGAATATGAAGTTATTACTTATTGTCCTAGTAAGAAAATTATTTACATTAACCTCAGCTTTAGGGCACAATTTTCGCGAGTCGAATTTGTGACACTGTTGAGTAATTATTGTAAGTTAAATATTGGAGAAATATGCCTGATAAAGGATAGTAAAAATGAAAAGTTTGTTAATGATTTAAATGATGAAATAAAGTCGACTGAAAAGTGGTCCGGACCACGATTTTGTATTTTAAGAGGCGTAACTAGGATAGAGAATGATGTGGATAAATCCTAAATATTAAATGATTTTCATTTACTACCGACCAGCAGTCATGCTGGCATTCGCAGAATGATTAATAACATTAAAATACGATTTTACTGGCCGGGATTCGAATCTGATGTTAAAGATTATGTTAAAAAATGTGATAAATGCCAATTATCTAAGCATTGTAAATTTATTAAAGAACCTATGACTTTGACAGCCACTGCTTCGTATGCATTTGAGAAAATATTTATGGACATTGTGAGTACGCTACCAAAGGATTATGATGATTTTAACAGTTCAATGCGAACTTAGTAAATTTATAGAAGCTTATCCAATAAAAAATAAGGAAACAGTTAGCGTAGCTAGAGCTCTAGTAAATAATTTTATTTTAAGATACGGTATACCTAAGATAATAGCATCTGATAGAGGAGCTGAGTTCACATCTTCAACAAGACCTGAGCTTTGTACACTATTAAATATAGAAAATTTAACATCAACCGCATACCATCATCAATCCATAGGAGCGTTGGAAAATGCTCACAAAAATCTAGGTTCGTTCTTACTAATTAAGTGTAACAAAGATAAGCAATCTTGGTCTTATTGGTTACCATACTGGTGTTTTAGTTTAATTAATACAATCCACACTGAAACAAAATACCAACCATTTGAATTAGTATTTGGTAGGCAGTGCAATATTCCCAATAGATTAAATAATGAAATAGAACCTTTGTATACCCCAGAGAATTCTTGTAGTAAGTATTCTTAAGTATAGAATACAAATTGCTTTTAAGGATGCTAAAAATCATTTATTAGATAGTAAGCTTAATCGTAAAATAAAATATGACAAATACGAGTATGCTAACCCTATATCCTATAATAAAGACGATTTAATTTTAGTAAAAACAGAAACAGGTGGAAAGCTAGATGAACTGTTTAATGGTCCATTTGTTGTATTAGAAGACATGGGACCATATGTTAAAATAATTAAAAACTATGAAATAGAATATAAATAGTACATAAGAATAGGACAACAAAGTTTGTTAGTTAAAAATTGTGTTAAGTTTGTAGTACTAATATAAAATATATACTTTTTTTTTCTTCTTTCACCCCCGGTGGTGAAGTGTGTATAATTATATATTATAGCATAGTGTTAGCATAGCATTTAGTATATAATATAATTAATAGGTGTAATCTCGTATGTCCCCCTAATAAGGCGGACCACCCAGAAACATAGGCTTCTTCATAATTGTAAACTAGGATTAAGATGATAATTAAACATGGAATACACGCAAGAAGACGTTTTCCTTTAACACCTCCCAAAGTACAACATTACAGGGCAGCCGTTGTACTATCACACTATATTTTAATTTAGAATAATAATTAAAACTTGATTCGATCGAGTTTAGATAATTTAACCAACCAGAATTTGCGAAATAATAAAGAGGTTTTACATCTTTATCTCAAAAAATCTCTCGGTTATCAGTTAAGAACTTACACGAGGTCTTGAATCACTTCTTGGCTCATACAGTTGATTTGTAGAAGTTAAAAAATCTACATAATGTTCGTATGTTTCATTTGGCCTTTTTCTATATTTTTCAACTTCTAACCTGTATTGTGTTTCAAACTCTGACCAGAAAAATAGTAAGAATTAGTTTGCATAGAACCTCTAAAACATATGAATAAGAATACTTGTTTTAATCTAAGCGAGCTGGTGCTGCTGACATTTCTCGGCGTATTCACGGAATCCAGTTCTTTGGTAGAAAATCAATCGCAGCAATATAATCAATATTTCAACGTAGTGCCACGTGGAGGACGGAAACATTTCTTTTTTAATGCTAATATTTACCATGGGCGTGTGGGCTCAGAGGCAAACTTTAACTAATGACAATGTAACTTCTTTACATTTCTTTGTTATATTCGTTCTTTATTGTTATTATTATTGACAAGAATTTCCCGTAGTTTAAAAGGGCATGACCCACATCAATGTGCGTTCGGTTTAGAATAGTCATCGCATACAAGAGGAAAATACAATACTGTGATAGTCGCATCATTAAATTACACCGGCCGACATCATTTTCCTTGTTCAAGTTCTGATTATTCTATCTATCTCATTTTATCGTATCACATCAGGTTTTTAAAAAGGTTACATTGGCTATTTGAATTTTTTTGATTAAAATAAATTAAATTTTAGATTTTGGCGCTCTTTTCTCGAATCGTGCGACCTCTCGTGAGGAAATATATTAGTTGCAACAACGACACACCCATTCGAAACAGGTTACATGCAAATAAACCTCTACAGTTACTTTTTTTATAAACTTTTTACTGAAATTAGTGTGTTTATTTAAAAAAAAATCTTACGTTTTACTTATATGTATTTTTTTTTATTAAGAAGTGTTCGATGGACCGCAAATCAAATCTTTGATGGCTGATGAACAATTTGATGCCACAATGAATAACACTGAATCAGATGCTTGGCTGGCGTTCAAAGATGTTGTCAACAATTTTCTAGGAAATACTAAACATCCCGACTATAAAAATAAGGTTGCAAACTTATTGGATAAGTATCAAAAATTGGGATGTAATATGAGCATAAAACTCCACTGTCTAGATTCACATGTGGACTTTTTTCGTGATAATCTTGGTGATTACAGTGAAGAGCAGGGAGAAAGGTTTCATCAGGACATAAAAACTATGGAGACCAAGTACCAAGGTCGATGGATTGTGAATATGATGACTGATTACTGCTGGTCACTGACACGTGATATTACTGAAGATACTCACAAAAAAACTACACCCAGACGTAATTTTGTCGCGAAACGTAAAAGATGTCACTCTAAATAGTCCTGTAGCATTGTTTAGACTCAATGTTTTCTTTGTAAATGTTTAAATATATGTTTTTGTAATATGATNTATGTATGAAAGATACACCAGCAAGCAAAATTCGGTGTACACTATTACAACATACATAGGATTTCTGGAAACTTATTCTAAGTAACAATGAATACAAAATCATATAAAAAGACATACGTGGCACAATAAATTTCCAAGAATCAGCCGTATTACTTGCGCGGCTGATTTTCGTAAAACGCAAGTCCTGAAGCGAGAAGACGATGAGGTCGCGGGTAGTGTCGTCAGTAATGTATACGTAAGACTCGGAGCACGGTAATATAAAATCAACCGATAGAGATCGGAGTCCTGAAAATTTATAATAATTATGTCCAAGTCCTCAGTGAAATCTTGTAAACGAATGGTATGTAACCATTTGAACTCTTGTATTCCTGCGAGAGTAATCATATTAACTAAGTAAGCAATGCACACTAAATATGATTTGATACCCTCGATGCTCTAATAACTATAGTCAATATATTTGATACTAGCGACCCGCCCTCGCTTTGCTTTGGGAACTGTAATTTATTATTGGATTTATTAAGTTTTCTATCTTCATATTTCATTGTATCAAACACTGTCATAACTACTCAAACATTTGTCCAAATGATGTAGTGTAAAAGACAATATTTATTACTTTAAATACCAGATGCGATGAAAGTATGATATAAGGATCAATTCATTACTATCAACTGTGCCTTAGAAATGAAGTTTATTTTTATTTTTATTGCCGTATAGGCAGACGAGCATACGGCCCAACTGATGGTGAGTGGTTACCGTCGCTCATGGACGTCAGTAATGCCAGGGGCAGCCTACCGCCTACCGCTTAATACTCTCCACAAGCCTCATTTGAAGAAGGACATGTCATAGCGCTCGGGAAAAACCGTGGAGAGGAGCTCATTCCAAAGCCGGATGGTACGTGGCAAAAAAGATCTCTGGAAACGCACTGTGGATGAACGCAGTGGCTTTAGGTAGTATGGATGAACTCTACTCCGGTGACGGGAGGTGCGATGGTAAAAACGAGACGATGGTATCATCTCGAACAATTCTTCACAGCACTTCCCATGGAACATACGGTACAGAATACAGGGGGAACCGAAGTCCCTCCGCAGACCCAGAGGTTCCAAACTATCCGTAAGAATGGGATTATCGACAATCCGAACGGCTCTGTTCTTTATGGAGTCAAATGGAAGTAGATGGTATTTGGGAGCCCCAGCCCAGAGGTGGGAGCAGTACTCCACGCGAGGCCGGGCCTGTGCTTTGTAAAGCAAAAGACTTTGTCCAGGCGTGAAGTACCGCTTCGCTCTGTTGAGGACTCCCAGCATTTTGGACGCCAACTTGGCTTTGCCCTCTAAATAACTCCGAAATTGGACATGGAATTGGAAATGGCGACCCCAAGTATCCCGATACTCTCGGAAGACTGCAGGGCAGGGGTACTCCTTGGAATTGCGGCGCCATGACAAAGGGGTCCTTATTCACAGTGAACGCGCAAACCTGTGTCTTCGGGTTGAATTGAACCAAATTCAATTCACCCCACTCGGAGGCTCGCCCCAGAGAGTTGTCCACTTCAGACAGAAGTTTTGATCGTCTCTCTTCAACCACGCTCCGTGAGAGACTCTGATGGCCGATATATCGCGCATCCCCCGTGCTTGCGCATCTTGTATATCATTGATATACAAGATGAAATATCAATTGTATATAACAAAATATAACAATAAGTATCAATTGTTATTGTACTTATCGTTATATTTTTAGTAATTCACACTTTACCTTTATAAATTATAGTCTGTTATTCTGATGTGTAAGCTATATTATTAGAATGTATCACCATAATCCATTCAGCAGTTTTTTGCGTGAAAGAGTAACAAACATAATAGATCCATACATAAACTTTCCCGCTTATAAAATGAATAAGGAAGATTCCTGTTCTGTATTCCTCTTTGTTCTTTCTGCTGTGAGCGTCTAGTATGAAATGTACTTAAATTTACGCTGTTAACGCCCCCGACTTTTGAGTCAAGCTTCGTCTGTTTTACTTTGACATGGGGCATTCACCTCAGAAATAAATATGTACGCAAAATTATAATTTGCGTAATTGCTGGTGGTAGGACCTTTTGTGAGTCCGCACAGGTAGGTACCACCACCCTGCCCATTTCTGCCGTGAGGCAGTAATAATACGTTTCGGTTTGAAGGGTAGGGCAGCCGTTGTAATTATACTGATACCTTAGAATTCATCTCAAGGTGGGTAGCGGCATTTACGTTGTAGACGCCCGTCTCTTAGCCATTAAAAAAATTAAAAAAATGTTTTCTTGTTGTTTGTGTAGTCAATATCAATCAATCATATTTAAATATTTAAACTTATGTTATTATGTTTATTAGTCCTTGGTACAGGGTATCCTAGTTTGGGCTCAAATTGACCGTACTTTTTTTTATTGCTTAGATAAGTGGACGAGCTCATAGCCCACCTGATGTTAAGTGGTTACCGGAGTCCATGGACTTCTACAACGTAAATGCGCCACCCACCTCGAGATCTAAGTTCTAAGATCTGTGTGATTTATCCCTGATTCTTTATATATTATAATTTATAAATGAATTGGTAACTTGCCACTAGTGATACCATTATGGAGAAAAGCACTGTCAATATCTTTCCTGAACTGAAATTCTGGTTTTGGAAGATTACTGTAAAGTAGCAATGATGCTGGTTTTACTTGCTTTCGCACACCTGAAAAGCTTCCTTTATTTATTATAATTATACAATAATTATGTTTTAGTAAGAAATTGAAGAATAAATTTTATTCAAAAGATAATATTGATGTCAAACAAACGCTACTACAAATCGCGACACTTAAAATACATTTCTATAAACAAATCATTATGTATTAAAATCGACATGTCCATATTTGCAATATCGTGAATATTTGCAATATCATGACTGCATCTTTCCTCCTACCTATGAAAATGGCTGTTCTGTTTATAATAATTTGTGTCATAGTATTATACTTGTCTTTTATATTGCAATCAAATCGAGTATATAAACTCACCTGGGATATCGAGGTATCCTGTATCAACAAACCAAAGTCTAAAACAGCTGTCTTCAAACATGTTAAAAACCGATATCAATTCTTTACCATCCTTTGAATTAGGAAATGGTTTCAGCATTGGCTCCTTCCCATAATCAAATCTACTAAAATAGTTGAGAGTAAATGGTATTCCTGAAATATAATTTTTTTTAACTGTTCGTTGGCTGATTAACAACAATCTTAGTTGGCCCAATAGTTTGTTGGATACAGTTCAGATCCTCTTCGGTCTTTGCCCACGAGTCAGTAGTTGCTTTGCGGTTGTAATGTTTCGCCGGGTTGGATCAATAGGAGCTGTTGGGTGCTTGGTATTTTTCATTTCTATGAGTAGGCAGCAGCTTACCTCTGCCCCTGGCATTGCTGAAGTCCATGGGCGACGGTAACCACTCTCGGTCAGGTGGGCCGTATGCTCGTCTGCCTACAAGGGCAATAAAAAAATAAAAAATAAAGTTGCCGGAGTTGCTTCAGCATTCCCAGTCCACTGAACGCTACATCCCCAGTGACCTTTTAACAGCCATGGGGAACGCTTCCAAAATATTGTGGATACTGTTGCCTAGCGTAGCTTCGTGGTGTCCGTTTTGTCGAGCGGGGTGGTGTCACCCCACATTGCACTTTATATCTCCGTTTAGTATTTGCTAATCTATGATATCCACATCTAGGAATGGCGACCGTTGCTTTATATTCCAACAAAAAGTTGAATGGGTGAAGAGTCCCAAGGATACACCCAGGAAAATGACTAATGGAATCAACAATTACCACAACGAAGAGGTGACAGTACAGTGCACTCTAAATGTGAATAAAGAGTTCGCTACACAAAGCCGAGCTAAATAGCATGGTTCTGTCACATCACAAACGCAAGATCTTTCTAGTTGTTAACACCTACCGTCGCTCATGGACATCAGCAATACGTGTCATAACAAAGTCGCTGCCGAGGGTTGAGTACTCTTCCTTAACCCCATTTGAGTAATTTCATATAATAGCGCTCAGAAAACACCGAAAACTAATTATATTGTAGTTCATACCAGGTCGAGTTCTAGGGATGCTTATTATTACTAGATAAGCATCATGAATAAAATCATAGGGATTCAAGTTTTGTCTTATTAGAAACTTTTCATGCTCCTCTAAGGCCACGTCCTGAAAGGCGAACGTCCCTTCTTTGTGTTCGTAATCCGAGTCATTCGTGTCTGGAAAAGAAATTGACTACCGTAATTATATATCATCATCTTATTAATGTACCATATTAGGTAAATTAAAATTAGATTTTTTATATTTCAATTTTCAATCCAAATTACTAATTGTTAATAATTAAAGTTTTTACTGCTTAAATTAAATGAAATTTAGTGATGCTACTAAAAACTTTTACTAGTACAAGGGGGCTATTTGTGAGACAGTACGTGTTGGTACCACCAGCCTGCCTGTTTCTGTGGCGAAGCAGTAATGCTGTACGGTTTGAGCGGTAGGACAGCCGATGTGCTGTAGATCTAATACTGAACTAACACTGAACCGCCGCCAACTTTGAGACATGAGTTCTATCATATCTGCCCATAATGAAACTGTGCAGGACGAAATAGGGTTTTTTATAGTTTAAGAAACAAATAGATTTAATTTAACCGTTAATAAGTGATTACGTAATAAATGTATAATCTTAAGTTATTTTATAGTCAATATGTTAGTGTATCAGATCAGAGAATGTAAATAGACTAATAGGAACGATTTGTGGAGCGCTTTCACTACGGTAACATACACATCAAGGGACCCTCCAAAGTGGCGCGTCGATAGCGCGTCGCGAGATGGGGTACTGAAATAAATATAAAAGGATGGCCATTTATAGGCAAAAACAGTTCCCAGTGAATCTTCGACAAAGAACCATCAGCAAGATAGAAACAGTTCTCAGCGAATCTCCGACATAGAAACATCAAGAAACAAACAGTTCTCAGCAGATCATCAAGACAGAAACAGTTCTCAGAAGCTCTCCGACAAAGAAACATCAGCAAGACAGAAACAGTTACCAGCAGTTCTTCAATAGTACAGTTATCAGAAAACCACCAGTGAATCAGCTACCAGTGAACCAGACAGTTACCTGTGAAACCTCGCTACAGAAGCCGATACCCATCGAAAGAAACAGCCGTCTTCTACCAGCGCACAAACAGACAGCAGAAACCATTATCACACGACTCGGAAACAGCCATACAGACCGGGTCGTGTACATTTCATGGTCCATTCGAGCCGGATAGAGGACACATTTCATTATTCTTTCGAGTCGGGTAGAGGATACGTTTTGAAAAAAGGAAACTGGAACAATGCCGATAACGCGGTCAACAGGAAGAGGACGGATCGAAAGTAAACAATCGCCGCCCTCAGAAACCACAGCTACAACACAGAGCGTGTGGACAGAAACAGCCGCGAATACCGTCATGAGTCTGGTAGCCCCCACAACAGAATCATCGTGCGCAACAGCCAACATGGAAGCCACGACGAAAGTCGCAAAGAAACCTGGGAACTCAAAAACAGAGGCCGTCAAACAGTATATAGCCAAACAGAATGTCGTGCCAACAAAACAGCGCGCCGGTACAGTCAAAACTGACCGGTCGCGAAACAGAAAAGAACAGAAGATAGCCAAAGCTAGAGAAGAGGTCGCCCGCCTACAGGTGGAGTTAGCAGCCGCCCGATTGGCCACGCTCGAAGCTGGATCTGATGACGAAAACAGCGAATCAGAATACAGTAAGTCAGAACTCGACGAAAGAGTGGGCACGTGGTTGGAAACCCAACCCACAAAAACGGAAAATCACGACCGACATAAGGAAACACCGGCGGGAGCCTGCGACAAACAAGACTTCTCAGATCTAACCGCAGCAATAACACTCGCCGTCAAAGCCGCCCGCGAACCAAGATACACAGAGTTGCCATTCTTTAACGGCAATCACCAAGACTGGCTATCCTTTCGCGCAGCCTATCACGAGACAATGAACTCCTTTACAAAAACAGAAAATATAAACAGACTCAGAAGGAACCTGAAAGGAAGGGCAAAGGAAGCCGTTGACGGATTACTTATAACAAACGCTGATCCGTCCGACGTCATAAGAAGTCTAGAAGCGCGATTCGGAAGACCGGAAACGATAGCCATAACGGAGTTAGACACGCTACGAGCTCTGCCAAGACTAACAGAAACACCAAGAGACATTTGTNTTATTTATTTATGTACACACAGAAAACAAGACATAGTACAGAGTAATAGGAAAATTATGTACAAAGGCACTGCTTATTTCTTTGAGAAATCTCTTCCAGCAGACCTGCGAGAGGATAATGAGAATAATAATAAAAAGTGATGAGTGTGTGTAGAACAAATAACACATAACTAAAATAACAAATACAACATGAGAATTATAGCACATACACATAGCAAATATTATAAGTAACACAGTAACACTCGTATATGCGAAGAGTATAGAACCATGATCATTCGGTTGATGAGAGATAAAATTGTTTGACCTTATATTTAAAAACAGAAACAGACTTGCAAACTCGGATGTCAACCGGCAACGAATTCCACAGTCTGACCGCGTACACAGTAAAGGAGTGAGAATAGAAATTGGTTTTGTAGGAAGCTCCTGTCTTGGGTTTAATTTACTTATTTATTTATTTCACTTTAATTATTGTGGCAATATTTATAATATTGCGGATCCGCAATTATCCATACGAAAATAATATATTGCGAATATTTTATTATATAATTTTATTTTGTTGACAAGACACGACACACGTCAAATAATTAATCTAACAAAATTTAAATGTACGCGAAGTGCTAACAGTTAACTGTTTCCCAACAAGATATTAGCAATTAACTTAATCTACCAATGATTCGTATCTAAAGCACTTATTTCTGTGGAGCAATGACGGATGCCCGCTCGAAGTACAGGAAAACCTGTGTGATATTGTAAACATCAACTTTATGGATAACCATATTCGAATCCGTATTGTTCTATTTAGAAATCCAATCGAATGTGCTGTAAGCAGTAATAATTTTAGCCGCTAAAAATTCGCAAATAGTAAAAAATACTATGGTAAATAAATAGAACTTTCACTTACATTTTACTCCATCTATATCGTAACTAAACAGTATCCAATAATAATCATATTGAAAGTTTTGTTGAGCATCATACACTGGCAGTATTATTAACTGGATTAATAATAAATACAACATGATAAAAGCACGTCTGCAACCGCTCCGATCGTATTTGGGACTGAGATGTTTTAGCCATTGAATACCATTCCGGTTTTTGATAATGAATGAATAAATGAATGAAATGAAAAGAATTTGGAACATTAATCAAATAGCATGAAATTAAATTAGTCAATTCACTTGGCAAAATATTAGTCATCTAAAATTTAGAAATCTAAACATAATGTGGTTGTCTTTTTTTTTTTTTTAAATAATGGCAATCTGCTGCTTCTTTCAGCAATTTCTGCCAGTGTCGTGTTATGGCTACACATGAAACATTGTCGAGCTATTTAAACTATTTCAGAGATTATTGAACTGCGGAGTTTATCCCTGAAAGGGTTTTTGACGATAGCGTCCAGGGCACTTCTAAAGTCTGAAAAAATAACTGCCCTTGTAATAGTGCTATGGGAAGAAACAAACTGACATGCCTCTAAAATACCAATGCATTCCCCAGAAAACACAGATGTTTCCGGAGGGCACCGGAATTGAAGGAAAATGTTGGAATTTTGGTAATAAACTGAGACACCCGTCCCACTATGAGATGAAAGTTTCGAAGCATCAGTAAAAAACCTGTGATAATCTCGCCACCTGGACTCAACTATGGACAAGAATTGTGTATTGGCCTCAACAGTTTCCTTGTCCAAGTCAATGGATGCAATATAATTTGGTATGAAGCTTAAAACTTCAATTGGAGAGTCATACATGGGGAATCTATTACACTGCTGGACATGAGTTCTTTCCTCAATCATACGGATCTTCCTAAAAGAATTCAAAATAAGAGGGGGATCCTTATACTTCCAGTAATCTACGTTCCCATATAATCTATCTAGGTGGATGAGNTCCCCAGAAAACACAGATGTTTCCGGAGGGCACCGGAATTGAAGGAAAATGTTGGAATTTTGGTAATAAACTGAGACACCCGTCCCACTATGAGATGAAAGTTTCGAAGCATCAGTAAAAAACCTGTGATAATCTCGCCACCTGGACTCAACTATGGACAAGAGTTGTGTATTGGCCTCAACAGTTTCCTTGTCCAAGTAAATGGATGCAATATAATTTGGTATGAAGCTTAAAACTTCAATTGGAGAGTCATACATGGGGAATCTATTACACTGCTGGACATGAGTTCTTTCCTCAATCATACGGATCTTCCTAAACGAATTCAAAATAAAAGGGGGATCCTTATACTTCCAGTAATCTACGTTCCCATATAATCTATCTAGGTGGATGAGTTTTGGCAGTATCATATGGTTTTTATGGAAGTATGCTTTAATTATAAACCTATCTGCAAGACACTGCCTGCGAAGGATAAGAGGTGGGTCGGCACTCTCCACCTGCAGCGCATTGTTTGGGCTGGACTTCATAAAACCCAATATAATGCGGAGAGACTTTGATTGAATGGCATCCAATTTTGCTAATGCTGTTTTGTTGCAAGGGTCTAATAAGAAAGAGCCATAATCCAATAAACTTCTTATTGTAGCATTATAAATGAACTTAATGTGAAAGGATGGGCATCCCACCAAACACCCGCCAGAGCCCCCAACATATTATTATTTCTCTCACATTTACTAATGGTGTAATTAAAATGTGCGATACCTGATAGTCTAGAGTCCAAGACGACGCCGAGAAATTTCACTTCAATTATCTTCGACCTTGATGGGAGATCCTTCAATTTCTAGATGTACATCACTAGATGTACATCTAGAAATTTATATAGAGTTATACCAATAACTCGTTTACGAGAGAAAACCACAACAGAGCTCTTAGAGGATGACGATTGGAGTCCATGAGCAGAAAGCCAATGATTCAGAGAATTGAGGGATATTTGCATAGATATGCCAGCGTCAACTATGGATGGGACAGCTGTATATATGCACAGGTCATCTGCATATTGTAAAATATGGCATCCGATGTTGAGTGACCTATGTAAATCAGATGTATAAATGTTGTATAGCAAGGGACTCAACACCGAACCCTGGGGGAGACCCCTCCAGAGCAACCTGGATGTGTGGACAAGATCACCAGGGATGTGTACGCTAACAGTACGGCCTGCCAGAAAATTACATATGCAACGTTGTATCTTTACCGGAACACTCAGCTCACGTAATTTACTTCTGAGCACGGAAAGAAGAACATTGTCGTATGCAGATGAAATGTCTAGGAAACAGGCCACAACTGACTGGTTTTCACTGAAGGCAATTCGCGTATCAGAAATAAAGGTGCCGATGCTATCTAAGGTACTGAACCCCTTTCGGAATCCAAACTGAGAGTCTGCTATCATTCCTTTACTTTCCACATACCACTCCAACCTATTTTTAATTAAATGTTCAAGGATCTTACCAATTACAGGGGAGAGTGCAATAGGACGGTAGTGATCAGGATTATCAGGAGATTTGCCTGGCTTCAGAATAGGGATGATTAATTGAGATTTCCAAGCGTCAGGGATATAACCAAAATTAAAACATGTATTTATTAAATTTAGAAGGAACTGACGACTATGATGACCAGACATTTTGTAAAAAGAGTAGGGAAAGCCATCTAAGCCAGGAGATGAGTCCTGGACATATTTAAGTACAGAATTTAGCTCATTTATGGAGAAAGGTTCGTCTAAAGGATCAACAG